AAAACGGTTTTAGGGCTGCTAGATATTGCAAAATCAAATTTCACTTGGGGACTTTTGAATTTTTTCCTTATTTTCAAAATGGCGGCTCAGTTGCAAAATGGCAGACTTTTAACATAAATTTAAGAATTAAATAGGCATATTCTTACATCAAACGCAAGTTTTTGATATCTTCAAGAAGATAACTATATCTTTTTGTAAATATTCCGTAGAAATTATCTTTTACCATTTCCCTTCATAATGGCGGGAGAAAATCAATATGGCGGGTATTCAGAATTTGCTTGCACATATCCGTTTTTGCCAAGCATTTGAATGTGCTTTAAGTCGCTATAGTCGATATCAGATGAAACACATAATGGTAGATTTGAAAAATGGTGCATTCTGCCACAAGAACTATTCTAACTAATGATATGGTCCTTCTGCCAACAAAACAAATGTTTTTCTGTGCAAAGCAGTATTGTTAGTGAAGGTCCCCAAAACTGCTGTGTGAATCCCAGTCATCTTCATAATTATCTTCTTCCTCTGCTTCTTCCTCTTGTTCTTCATCTTTTTATCCTGTTTCATCAAATTCAACTTCTGAAGTCAAAGTCGTAAACAGACTCTCGACTTCCACATTCCGTCGCCGTTCTTCTGCCTCTTTTGTTCTGATTCGTTTTTCTGGGGGATCCTGTTCATCGCGCGACCAAATCTCTCCATCTAAGTGCACTCCTGGGTCTAAAAAAATCAGTCTCATGAAGTAAAGCAGGAAGACCAATCAACGATAAGAAATTGGAATCAGGTTGGTAGAGCTATTCTGGAAACAACTAGTAGATAAATTTCGACAATGCAGAACTTCTAAGATTCAGAAAAGAAAAATTGCTAATCAACTTTTAATATTAACTGCTTAGTTGCTTACCATAAACTCCTGCCTATTCGTTAATGTCTGTCATATCTGGTGGAAACTGGCTGCACGAATACCACAATGGCTTGATGAAACCGACATTCTGACTCCAACCAAAAGTTTCGTCAATGGTAGGGAAATCAATTTGACTCTCAGTACAATGACACCAAACATAGCATTGCAGCCAACTTCGCTTAAGGTGTTGCATGGCACTGTTTTCATCCGGAATTATTCCCTCACTAGAATACAATTTTTGCTTTTGGTATATTCTTACTCTTGTATCTAGGTAGCTTTCTTTTATTTCTCCATTATATATGATATTTCGAAAGAATTCTTTGGCTGCTAGCAGGCTATCATCCGTCAGAAATCTGCAGCCAAATGTCGAAAGAAGGTCATATAAACGCATTTTCATCAGCTTTTTCCATGGGGCAACTTTACCAACTCTAAATTGAAATGATGTCGTGTCACATCCAGTTATGCTGTGAAAAGCTGGTAAGACATTGCATGCTTCCGAACCGATGTGATCAGCAATTGCGGCAACGTTGACGAAATTTTGATGGTCGATTTTCATCTGCCATGGTCGATCGATATCCCTCCATGAATAGATATGCACCATCAAAACCAGGACGTCGGTGTCTGTTGCGCTAATAATGACGGGCATATCGTCGACTTGGGTAGTAACATAGATTAGACGGGTGTCAGCTTCGAAATGATTACAGTCCTATAATTCGGTGATGCTTGTGGTTGTTAGAAGCCATGACTTCTCATTTTCTGTAATAATTGTTGGTATTCTGATGAGACGTGACCGGTTCTCTTTGAGAAATGTGTCGAGAAAGTGGATCAGCTCAGTTTTATTTTCAGGGTTGTGTAGAAAAGAGTTCCATTCACTCTGCCTGGGCATATTTTGCTGGGGGCTTGTTATGAAGGTCCGTCTTCCTGACATTCCACGGCGCAACTGTGTTAGCTGTTTTATGATGCTTTCTTTGTAGCAATCAAAGATAATGCCTAACCTTAAAGGAGACGAGTCTCTACTTGGTGTGCAAAAACTGAAGAATGCTGTTGCGTACTCACCCCATGTATTTTTACGTAGAATTGTCCTTACAACAGCCATGCCATCCACGATCCAAAATGCCCCCGTTTCTGGTTGTGTCGTCGAAGCATTTGCTTCTTCAATTAGATGATTTCTTAGTGCAGCTTTTGAGCCTTGTCTAAGATCACCATCTGGCGATGCTAGAGCTAAGAGAACACTGGTGAGTGGATATGAAAGCAATTCCTCTGTGGACTTATTTTTGCCTATCATTGCACCAAATTATTGCTATCATTGCTTATCATCTTTGGCACTTTCTTCACTTTTTCCAGACCTGTTTTCACTTTGGGGTTACAAACTCTTTCGAAAATGCTGACCCTGTCATTAGCGTCTTTCGGCCTTTTTTGAAAAAATTCTTTAAACATTTCATTTCCCATTTGGGTTGACGACAGAAGACCTGTTATAACTGCTTCATCAATTTTTAAAATGTCGAGCGGGACCAGCCAAAAAAGGGTCAAAGTAGCTGTCCAATTTGTTGATGAGGAATTGTATCATTATTTCGTGCTTCTTTCGAGCGCCCACACTTTTTTCTTGTGTGACGACGTTGTAAATACTCTCAACCTCTCTTTCAGCTTCATCCGTAAGTTTGCTATAAAAGTGACTTGTTTTCATGAAGGTGTCTACAGCAGTTATATCTGTGCTGAAGCCTCCTTGCATTGGGCCTCCTCTGGCTGTTACCTCTCTGTTTATTGTCATCTCTGTAATTAAATCGCCATTCATGGTAGAAAATGACTCGACAGAGACCGATCCGCCGTATCCGTTTTCCAACAGGTCTTGCCAAATTGTTGCATGGTTCCTCTTGATGTCTAGAAGGTTGACATGCTGGAATGAAAGATACCGCGAATAATTCGGATGGCCAAATGCAGAACACTTGGGTATCAATGCCCTCTCGGCTGCAAGATGCCGCTCAATTGTATTTTCCCTTACTGAACTTATCAGACATAGCATTGCCGAAACATCTTTTAGATACTCCACAATCATCTTCGCTTGCGTTTCGTTATGATTTGATAATGCACTCTCGAAGAGGAGCTGAAATGCAGGTTGTGCCAAGACTGATGTAAGCGTTACTGGAGACTGATTTACCCGTAAATCTGCAATTGATTGCTTCAAATGATTATCAAGAACGTGCAAACTGGCTAGCTGCTTGATTCTGAAATGCAAGAGTGCTTCAAATGATTGCTTGTGGAGTCTAACACTACGCTGATTGTGACGACCCTCTATTGCCTTGTCTACAGATCGTTTTCGCTTGCAAGGGTGACATCGTTCACAGATAGTTGGAAAAAAGGATTAGTGCAAGATCAAAATGGTAATTTCTGAATACCCGCCATATTGAATTTATGCCGCCATTATGAAGGGAAATGGTAAAAGATAATTTCTACGGAATATTTACTAAAAGATATAGTTATCTGCTTGAAGATATCAAAAACTTGCGTTTGATGTAAGAATATGCCTATTTAATTCTTAAATTTATGTTAAAAGTCCGCCATTTTGCAACTGAGCCGCCATTTTGAAAATAAGGAAAAAATTCAAAAGTCCCCAAGTGAAATTTGATTCTGCAATGCCTAGCGGCCCTAAAACCGTTTTCTGAACTTTGACTGGACAATTTTTCCGATTTTTCTCGTTTGGGACCTGTCTATGAAGTTGACATTACCGCTATCAGGGCTTGACTCCTTTGTCGGGACCTTTATCGTCACGTCTGACTAATGACTAGAAGTATCCCACTTCTACACCCTCAACTTACATGGAATGAAATCTTCAGATCTAAGTAGAAGTTCGCAAATACGGAAAGTGTTCTCTTCAATTTATGTTTTGAAGTTTGCCTCTACCGCCCTGAACTTGGTGACCGTGTTAAAAAATGTCAGTTATCGACGTGATACGCGAAAAGTGCGGACAATAAACTTCAGAACTTCCCGTTTTTTAAAGTGGCTCTTGACAGGCTTTCGCGTCTGGTGAATCCATGGAATTTTGAACGCTTAAAGGGAACAACTCTCCGAAAGTAAATTATGATTCTTGAAATAAACATTTAAGTTTTTGAATACATTTAGGTTAAACACTGGTGCAGATTTTGAAAATTTTAGCAATATCAAACACATGAATAAAAAACAGATGAGTTTAACATGATTGTTAAAGGGAACAATCTAAATTAGTGTCTAGTGGTCTCCTATGTGCTCAAAAACACGAATTTCTAAAGTGATATTTTTGGATTTGAACAACACTTTTTAGCGGATACTTTTGGGTCTGTATAAAATACATTTTTTGATACTTTTGGGCTAATTTTGATTTGTGGATGGACCTCCCCGTATAAGCATGGTATAAGTTACTCCCCTGGGGTGTGTCAGAAAAAATACCACAGTACATTCCTGTTATAGCAATATCAAATGTTGCTTGAGAACTTGCCCCTTTTAACCGAATGTGTCACTGTGAACGGGGCAATTGGGGTCTACATTTGATTGAATAGTTTTGCATATTTGGATCAATATTGGTCTGACTGTACACCTTTAGAGTGAATTTAAGCGGAGTGACAATAAAAGGAGCCAACTCTTTACTGTTTTTTATATCTATATTGATCTTTTCGGATGATAAAGGTGTAACGTAACGATTCCTGTAGGTTTTTAAATCTTGTTTTGCCAGATTGACGTTTGTGTAAAGTGATTTTACATCTATGGCAACGAATTCTGTGAAATGCTAGAATGCATATCGAGAGTTTGCTGTAAAAATAAGGTTACCTGTTTTTGAAGCCAAATCAAAAAGTTATTTGCTTTTCTGAAAAGAACCAATTGAGTCAATCGTAAGAATGACTGAAAACATACTACCACAGGGTACTGTACAATAAAACTTTTAATTGTATTAGAAGAAGGAACAATTTCAAGCCAGAGGGGCATTAAAGCTGTTTTTATGGTTGTCTGGTTTCCCATAAAGACGATTTGTTATTCTATAGAATTTGCAATCTGATTAGTGGATAGCAATATTTAGAACTTATTTCTTATTGTCCAGACTCTTTCGAAAGCAGTATTGTCAACTAAAAATGAACTTGTTTGTCTGGAATATGATTTAATTCGCTGAAGTCCTATTTTGTAGAAATATCCAAAAAGCGGTTACACGCACAATTAACACACAGGAGCATAAAACTTGCGATTTGCAAAAATCCGTCAGATTGGATGGTTGCAGAGTTAGAGGTAAGTTTGGACATTTTTGGCATCTCATTTCTTCTATTCCAACTGTTTAACTTGCTTCATACTAATTCGAAACCTCTTTTCACGAAAATATACTCAACAAATATCTATTATTTAGCGTATTTTTCTGTTTAATACTTGCATTAAATTTCGTTCTTTTTTGTATATAATTTATTTGCAAATAAGAATTCTCTGACTGTGAAAAGGTTGTTGTACTGAAAAGCTTTTGGTCATCTGATTATTTTCTTTTAAACATTTTTAAACATGATTTATTCGTAGGATGAATTTAGCACTTTTTCGTGCTCTCGTTATCTTTTCCTGGATTGTTCTTAGCTAAAAGTTAGGCTCTAAAAAACGCTAAAGAATTGTTTATGTCTTAGAAACTATTTCTGTTCTCTAATCAGTCTATAGCTATATTCTGTTTTCAACAAAGCCAAACAACAAGAGAGAAGTTTGAACTCTTCTACAACCGTACCTCTGAATCACAAATACATAGCTATAGCATACATACTCACATTTTGAGCACTTTTGTACTTGAAATCTTGCTCGGATCATTCATCCAGTTGTCTTGAAACTATAAATAATTCAATAGTTCAAGAACATTTTTATGATTTCTTGAGTTTGTACTTCATACGAAATTTTGATTCAACACTTTTAGTTTTGAAAGTATAACACAAAGCAAAAAGTAACTTCCTAAAAAGCAATTGAAGATTTATAAGGTGGTAAAATGCATCGTCAATGGAAGTCACAACCGGGACTAACTCGTCGCAAAAATAGATGTAATAGCATCTCCGCTGAATTTAGTTGATCTCAAGAAGAGACATTTCAAGTGAAGTAAATTTTAAGTTAGAACATATTGTCAAAAACTAATGGCCTTGCATAGGAAACATTTACCGAGCACAGCCTCCTAGAGGTATTTCTTTCTGTCTAGAGGTTTTTCTTTCTTCTTTCTTCTAGTACTTTTTATGCAGGCATTCATTGAAATAAAACCGAACAAGGAATACTAAAGCTGTTTTCGTTGGTAAATATACAGATGACATACACGATTAAGTCAATAATAAAAGCCTTGGATCTCTGCTTGGCTAGTTGAAGTCAAATGGTTGTAAATGGTAAATGAAGAATGTAAATGGAATTACAGCCGGGAAGATTTAAGTAGAGTACGTTTAGCAAATCCTTTGCTTCAACTTAAAGTCCATATTCAAATGAAATGTGTTTGTATTCTTAGTGTGAACGATGAGGAGCCTGATTCTGTTATTCCTGCTTTGTGCAGTCTTTGCAGCATTTACAAACGGTAAGGGTCTCATTTTTTAACTTCGTCTAAATATTGCTAATCAACAAGAACAAACCGTGTTTACTTTTGCAAAAGTTTATTAAGACATTATATTGACGAGTATAACAGGAATAAGCTTCAGTGAGGTAAATTATTTTTCAGTGAAATCCGTTAGAAATTAAAAGTGATGTAAACATATTGTAAACGAAATGGCCAGATAGGTTTGAGGAGCAGTAGTAGTGGTGTAAGAAGCCAGTTCAAGGGTATAAAAGTCTTATATCGGCTTTCAATCTTTCATTGGGAATATTTTTAACCAAAGATTTAGATCTATCGACACTGCTGTAACTTCAATAAAGTTATGCATTGAAGGTCATTCGCGTTCAGATAAAAGGAGAACTGACACGCAAAAATACTTTGGCTTTTCCTGGGCAGAATGCGTCGCTGACTTCAAACCTGGTAAAATGTTTCTTATCAGATTCGCTGTTTCTATTTTTTGTGGACTTTTATCGGCCAATTACGTCTTAGCCAGGATTTGGCTATCACAATTGACATGTTAACAATGGCTTTTTAAAGTTTTTCATCGCAACGGTGAAAGTCAAAGCGAAATCTCGTGTATTACTGAAATTAATCTGCAATAAGAAGACAAAAAATTGTCAGACCTGTCATTTATAAGTTTTAAGAAGCTAAAAAATCATAGTTGCAGGTCTGCTAAGACGCTGGTATTCACATTAAGTTTATTCTTATGCCATGATAACTTCGAACCAGCATTCTTTAAGAGATTGCAAAAACCTCTAAGCTTATGAAAAAAGGAATCGTCTTTGTTTGAAAACTGATGCCGTTTCTCCAAAGTTTTCTTTTCTATTATTACAAATAAAATCGCAACAGCGAGGGGAATTAGCAATATCCAAAAAACAAACAAAGTCCTGTCAAGACGGCGGTAAAAGCAATTTTACAATGTGCATTAAAAAAAACTATACTGTGCTTTTTGGGCGCATAAATAAGAATTCCAGAAAAAAATGGGTCATGGGAGCTGGGAGTGTGACTAAAAAATCATTTGGCTGAAATTAATTGTCCCATTTTAACAGAGGATGAGGTACTAGGGAACAGTCTTGTCTTGCAAAACACCATTTTGCATCTAAGTTTAAACTGTTTACAAAAGAAGAAAATGTGTCAGTTATTATTACTATTACATCTAATCAGCTACTCGAGTTCTCTGACTAGTGGCTCAAGTTCTAAAGAACAGTTAAGAAATAAGAACAAATTTGTGACTCAACATTTTCTTTTGCCTCAACCCCTTATCAGTTCCCGAAACCCTTCACGCCCTGTGAAAACGGCATAGATACGGCTTTTGACCCCCCTTTCCGACCCCTTTGCGAACTCTCTCGGTATAACGAACCCCGGATAAAATGAACTCTCGATATAACAAACCAAACTATGGGTCCCTTCGTCATAATAATCCTCAATATAACAAACTTTTTATAACTTTTCCTCCGTTATTTTTATATATTTTTTTATATCTTTATATATTTTTTTATTTATATATTTATATATTTATATTTTTTTATGTGCATCGATCAATTTCTCTTGGGGGAAATTCCTATTGTCATCGGCAAGACATGTTGATGATGCATTTCAAGCCCTGGCTGATAGGCTCAGAGTACGAGATGAACGTTTGATCGCTTCAAAAATTTAACAGATGAGTGTGATGTAATGAGAATGGGTACATTGACACTACAGAATACCTTTCTACATATGAGACATTGTCAATGAGTGACGACAAGATTTTATTGATAGATCCAGATTGAGAAGCAGAGGATTGTTTTCCTCTGCTTCTCAATCTGGATCTATAAGAATGTGACGTAATCGAAGACTTTATTCAGCCGCCAACTATAATTGAAGCGATATCAGCTTTGCCAATTTGTGTGCACCAAATTGTAACAGGAGCATAAAGATCTTCATTTTCGATGACCAACCATTAGTAATATTTGAATTCAGCTTTGTTTTTTGGAGCAAAATGTGCACAGAAGTTGGAGATAGCCTAAGCAAGCCCACCGCAAATTTTTCCGGCGTGAACAACTGCGAAAAGACCGAAAATGTTTTTATCCTATAATATTGGAAATTCAGTTAGTGTCATTCTCAAGGAGACTAGTACCGCAAATCCTCGAATAAGCCCCCGGGGCTTATTTGCAAAAATGAATTTTTTGATGGAGGCTTATTCAAGGGGGAGGGGGGCTTATTCGAAGGGTGGCTTATTTCAAAGTTTAGTATTTTCCTTAAAGTGTCTATGTAACGAAATCTCATGTCTTGTATTTTTTAGACTTATATTTTCCCATCTTTTCTGATACGTTTGACAACAAAATTGTCTTAATTTGACCAGCAAATGTGTGTTTAATCAGACTTTGAAATTATTCAGTACTTGCGAAAACCAAGGCCAGTTTTTGTCGTCACAGTGATGAGTCGGGTCGACAACAATTAGAAAACTGCGGTTGTACAGATAGGTTTTAGTGAGGGAGATATACAGAAAAAGTGTGCAAATTGTGATACAAGCACCGAAATTTTAGAAAACACCAAGTTTGATACGCTGAAAAAGATGTGCTATAGACTCCAAGTCGTATCTTGCCCATAAAATCTATTTTTAGACTGGGGGTACTTCGGTCAAGACCCTTCATTGTACCTTTGGTCATAAATGGAGAACTCCAGGTCATAGAAAGTTGAAATTCACAAGAAAAGGCAGTTTAACGAGCCGAAAAAGATGTAAAATAGACTCAAATCATTTTATGCCCCCTCAATTGTATTTTTAAACTGGGATACTCTGGTCCAGACCCCTGGCCATAACTGGAGAACCCCAGGCCATAGAAACTTGGAATTCTCAATATAAAGGCAGTTTGACATGCAGAAAAAGATTGCATAAAGAACCGAATCATACTTTGCCCCTAAGTTCTATTTTTAGACTGAGGGTGCTCTGATACAGACCCCTAATTCTACCATTGGCCATAAACGGAGAACGGAAATTCTCAATATAAAGGCAGTTTGATACGCTGACAAAGATAGTGCAAGATATGATATAGTTCCTACTCATATCTTGAACTCTAAAAATAGAAAAAGGGGGAAACATCCAGTCGGGGTCCATATCCTATCGTTTTAAGTGTACGAAACTGCCTCTTATTGCACAGTTTCATGCTATTCTACCAAAGTTAGACTGAGATACGATAATACCGTCAATAAAAGTCTAGGGCATATTACCCCAGTCTAAAAATATAACAAGGGGGGCAATTTTAAATTCGACGACAAATGCACAATTCAACGTAATAACTGATTTAACTGGTCTGAATGAATGGTTTCGCCTCGACTCATCACTGTGACGTCACAGCTGGAAATAAAATTTCACAATGCAACTGCAAAATATGCATACTTTGACACTCAATAAAAAAGAACCATTTAACTTATCGGAATTCTGTTTTTTGTATAAGAACAAAGGCGAAGGATTCTATAGATTTCTTTTAAAATGTTGGAATGGTAAATTTCGCTGCATAGGCACTTTAAAGGTCGACATAAAATCGACATAATTTTCTTAATGGAAGAAATTGAGAAATTACAAAAAGACCTTTTTCAATTTTGGTCTCCAGTCGAAGGAAGTAATACTGTATAGCTATTGTCCTGTGAGGGCTTTCTTGAAATAAGATATTATTTTGCAATTATTATTTCCATGGGGGCTTATCGAGATGGGGGCTTATTTAACAAAGATGAATTTTTAGGAGGAGGCTTTTTCGAAAGGGGGGGGGGGCTTATTCGAGCGTGGGGACTTACTCGAAGATTAACGGTAAGCGTCACTTCTTCTCGAGTATATTTTGGTCTTTTCTTTAAATTAGGTAATGAGATGTTAATTTTGAGGAATTTTCTATATTACTTTATTCGCGAGAAACATTGCAATGGATTTAAAACATCTACTCGATGATTTGAGGTACATTTTATCGATTTGATTCTATTGGAGTACATCACAATGGGGTCTAGATGTAATAGAGTAATTGTATTATGTTTGGTTTTGTGCAACTTTTTGAAGAATTGACAACTAAGGATGGTGTTGAATTTGATGTCTCCAGGGTGGAGAGATGTTATTCCCGAGTACCTCAAGGGTCTGTGATGGGTCCCTTTATGTCTTCTTTCCCATTTAAATGACCTCTGCATCAACTTGAAAACTGTCATTTGGCTATTTCCAGTCGATACTTTGTTTGCAGTGATTGAATATGAGATTATTGGTAGCGAAGAATTTAATTAAATTCTCCAGATAATATGAGCCTGACAACGCAATGAATTTTGATACCTTTAGAAGGAAAAAAGGTACCTCTCCTACAAAAAAGAACGAATTTACAAGAGAAGCAAGCAAAATATCTCGAGTTGATTTTCGATTCATGATGAAGTTTGCATACGCGGAATCATCTGACTCAAACTATTTCCTTAACCTAACTTGATGTTCTTAATCTAACGTACAAACGATATTTCTGGCCTCAACTTGTCAGGTCTTGACTATATGTCCGACATCAACTATGGTGACCAGTGTTAAGGTAAGATCTAACCCTGAAAAATGAAAAAAATATTAAGCTAGTGTTCTGCAGCCCTTACTGTCTCTGGTGCATCAAGAGGCAAATGCTTTACAATGAATTGAGGTATAGCCCCTGTACAGTAGAAGATTGTGCCAGGAGTTAGGTGACTCCTCTAACTTAAAGAATAATCAACGACCTGAATTATCTCAATGTCCCTTCTGAAGGATATCTGTCCTTTCCATAGTTACTTTTTAAGAGCAATATGCACGTGAATCTTTTTGTGTCCGTTATTGGAAAAGTTTATAATGCATTTTATGTTTCATGCATAGTGGAAACTTGCTGACCTAACCTCCTTTCCCAAAATGGATGGCAGGTAGTCAGTTAGCTTTTTTGTTTCTTAATTGATTTCGATCTTATGAATAAGAAATTACAAGTCTCTCCGAACAAACAGATAACGAGAAAGGAGAATCCACCTGGTGACTAAGCAGTCATGAGCGCCGTCCATTATTGACAAAGATTTCACAAACTTCTCTCTACATAGATATAAGCAGACTTTCTTTCTTTAATCGCATTAAAAATAGTTATCTTGAGATTATTTTCGGCTTTACGTGATGCCTTTATTCTTCAGTCATGAGCTTTCATATTGAATGCCATTGCTTATGATAACGTGTCTATTTTAAAGCTTTAGGTGAAATCGAGAATGAAGAAGCCAATGACGTGAATACAGAGATAGAACAGGATGAGAACTTTGATGCCGATAACCAGTTGTCTCGTGACAATGGAGATGAGGACCTAGAAAGCAATGATGAGACAAAGAAAGGTTCTTGAGATTTTCCAATCCTACTTCATAATCAAATCTTTTACAAAAGTTTTGCAAGACATCTTGAATACTTTTGTATCAAACATAAAATATTTCAAAAAGTTAAATATATGCTTTGCATTAACGTTACGTTTAATGCTTCGTTCGTAGCAAACACAATTGTAAACTTTCTGAAATGTTCTTCAAGTTTGTCTTCTATTCTTGAAAATAGCAATCACGAGTTTAATTATGTTAAATGTATGGTCTTTTTTGTTTCCTTTTTAATCCAAATCATGAAATGTAATACCTTTTGAAAATAAATTGATATGAAGTAAATCTCCTTGCAGATATATGGTATCGTTCGTTTGTCCGCCGCCGCCGTCGTGCCTATGTCTTCCGCCGCCGTGTTGCCTATGTGCGCCGCCGTCGTTTCTATTACCGCCGCCGCCGTGCCTATGGCGGTTAAATTCCTTCATGGAAAGTTCGTCCGCTAACTCTATGGACACGGCACTGGCATGTGCGTAGTTGATAAGTCTGTACGAATGCTATTACTACAAAGATAACGTATAGACAGACTTAGATGCCATTTTTCATCAATTTGTATCCACATTTTAGCAATATACTTAGCCTGGAAAATTTTGTGTCTTAAATGGAACTAAATTCTCATTCGTAAGCATTCTTCCGTTTTTATCTCTAAAAAAGCATGATGGATAATTAGGCAGGGCTATAATTAGCAAGAAACTGAAGCGAATTTCTCAAGGCTGTTAGTCAAATCGGATACCAGCAGTGGCGGACTGGCTCAGAATTTTTAACCGGCCACAAATACCTAGAGGGGCCCAGGTGGGTGTGGTCTGAAAATCAGGGCGTGGCCAAGTGAGCATTTCATCATAATCGATCAATTTCTAAGCAACATAACATATATAGCACTAACAGCAAAGTTGAGCTGTTGATTACAAATGGGTGCTGAGTACACTAATTGAAAATTAACATTAAATAATAAAAATTCTGTCTGATTTGGATTTCAGTAATTTTGCACAAGAGACTTTCTCGAAGAAACAAAGTTAAAAGTTATAAGAAAACTAGCCTAAATGCGTAAAGGATAGTAAGTTTAAATTACAGAATATCTGAGGTGTGAGGAAGCCTTATCTTTACTGAAACTTAAGACCTAGAAATAGCAAACTAGAAAGGAAGGTGCACTGATTCGATTTTTAGAAGTTGTGGCTCACATGCGGAATAAGTTGTGGCTCACATGCGGAATACATTACATTGTACAAATTTCTATCAAAAATTCAAAATGGAAAAACGTGCTCAGCGACAAATAAAGCCAAAGCGAATCATTTCTATATAGGAAAATTTGATATCTTAATCATGATGTTACAACAAAATCATAGCAAGAAGGTTCCCTATCATTTTTGTGTAATCATCCGCTAAATTGGTTTGCTGTCCGTATTTTAGACTTAATACGTGCTTACAAACTATATTTTTCACAAAACTTTTAAGTTTATCATTTCGAAGACCGTTTCAATCAAATGCTACCGGAAGTTGCATTTCTTTAATTTGCTTTCCAAGAAACTAGTGATCAGTCCTGTCCCCTTTTTGCATCAACTTGCCTTCCTTTCTGAGAACCATTTGCGATTCGAAGTTTATTCGTCCATTATGTGCAATTTGGCTAATTCTTGCAATTTTATTGACGTCTTTTTTATGTCATTTTTTCATTCCATGAGGCAATACCTTTACCTGTTCATGTTTTATACTAGACAGTCCAACACAAGCAAAAAGCTAGATTATTCGGTAAACGAATTTTTAAGACGATGCAGCAAACCCCGTTGAAGTATCATTCACATCGCATTATCTTAACGCTATGGCTTGAGTCAAAGAAAAAGTTAACGCCGAGGTTGTTACTCAATCACTCCTTACTTTTTTGCTAACTGGCAAAAATTTAAGTGAACTCTTCAGTTAATGCCGGGTAGATTAACTGAACCTGGGTCTATGAAAAATAAAAAAATTCAGAAAATTCCATTATCTTAGGCCCCGTTCACACGGGAACGCAATCGTTCCTTTCCGTTCTTTTCCGTTCCGAAAAGCGGAACGCTCAGGGGTTGTGTTCACACGGGAACGCTTCAAACGACATCGTTCCGTTCCAAAAAGTGGAACGATAAGATAAGTGATACGAAAAGTGGAACGGTACGCAATCGTTCCGTTCCGTTCCCGTGTGAACGCGCAGAACTGGTCCAGAAAATGGAACGATAAGAGTTTTGCCCTTGGCGCATGCGTCTGTGTTGTTGTTGAGGGAAGGAAAAGGGGACAATAATAAACTCAGCGAAGAAAATGGAGGATTTCAAGAACACCATTGGTTGAATCTCGCCGTTAGTCCATTTAAAAGATTCAACACCATTCTGCAAACATTGAAATTCCTTCCTTTTAGGGTTGGCTTCAATTTTCCCACGAGCTTGCTTATTTTGGAGCGCCTTTGTATTCTCCATTCATTCAAATTGTTTAAAAAATTCAGAGACAGCTCAGAGATAAATCGAAATGATGAAATCTATCTCCATTATGGACATGCGCATTAAAAATCATTCGCTTATTTTGGCGCGCAAATTGCAGAACGGAACGATTGCGTTCCCGTCTGAACATAAACAAAAATCGATACGCAATCGTTCCGTTACCGTGTGAACAGTATACCTTTTCGTTCCAGAAACTGGAACAAAAATGGAACGGAACGATTGCGTTCCCGTGTGAAGGGGGCCTTAAAATGTCGACCAAATTCATTTTATAACCACATGCTATGACGTTCATTCAACCTCAGTTTTGATGTAATCCATGATATTTATTATTCGTAATGGGACATCTTAAGGCCCCATATTCCTTAAATGGGGCCCTTTTTCTGCAAAGATGGGGCCCTCTTTGCCAAATTTTAAAGGGGGCTCACCGGCCACGGGCCGATGGACCGATGGGCCGATGGGCCGGTGGGCCAGTCCGCCACTGGATACCAGCATGAAAGTTTGTCCACAAGGGTAGTTTTGGGCGCTGAGCAAGATAAGATGCAGATCCCAGCTGCTAGTTGTGATACCAGTATCAAAATGTCAGGTAAGATATCAGTTAAATTTTGAAAAAAATTATTTCAAAAACGATATATGATCAATTCCAAATTCGATTCAAAAATTCCTTGAACGTACGGGACAAGTATCCTTGTTTGCTTTTCTTAGAAATGAAGATCCAGATATTCTGGATGAAGATGTTGAGGAAACAGCGACGTCACAGTTGCAAACAACAACAGAAGGCCCACCAAAGAAACGTTCAAGGAATTTTTGACCTCCTTTTTGACCAAAGAATAAATTATCAATGCTGCTGCAGCCTTGCTTCTTCTTTCTTCTTTCTCGGTAATCGTCTTCCGAATCCTCCACTTTTTCAATTTCACTCAACTCCTACTCAAAACAAACTTGCGGGCCAAAGTGTTAATCATATGAGCAATATTTTATGTTAATTGTCGACCATTTTAAAAAACTTGAAGATGATGGAAATATTTTTGAACAGCGGTCAAAAGTTTTCCCCTCAAGACGGATTAAAATTCCTCAAGATGGATTAAATTTCCACTCAACAAGCAAATACAAGCAACTTGAAGCGTACACTATTACATTCTCTCGTTTTCCGCAACCACAGAAAAAATGTGAAGCAAATTGTACCTGAATGTGATAGTGTAATAGGGCCTTACTAGTTTTTTGCTGTTTGACTTTTGGAATTGTGTAGTGCAAGAAAAATGAGTTTATGGCTAATCATTTTCGTTTTCAAGAGTCCGTCCTGCTCTGGGGAACCAGAACAACTTCACCTAATTTAGATGGACCGTAATATAATGTCACTCTCTAGTGCTATTATGCACTCTGTACGCTATCTCTTCCACACACATGTTTTTTCCATCTCTTTTTTCCTTTCTTTCTCGATTGATAACAGTCAGTGCTAGGATTTTGGAACCGATTTTGCCACAACATACTACATCGGTCTGTTATTGAAGTGTATCGCTAATTCTGACTTCTCCCAAGTTTCTGGGGGAATCTCATAAAATGTATCTCTTCAGGGGATTTTTGCTGAGATAAAGTCTGCCAGGTACTCGTGTAACTCTTCATTCTTTCGAAGGATTTTCATGAAATTTGCTACAACTTTAAAAGTATCTACATTGTCACTTAAAATCTCTTGTAGCCTAGATTGAACTGCAAAATTTCATTTATTTTGACCCTTTTGCTTCCGCTTATTTGGATACCTTGAAATAAACGGCCCTTGATGGAGCACAAAAGAAAACTGTAACATAAGCTTAGGCAAGCCAGATTCCTTCTTTAACTTTAAATTTTCCACCGAAATCAATTCTTGTAACTGTAAATAAAAAAATATCTGCTATTCTTTTCTCTAGTAAAATAGCTAGGTCCGGAGCAGGATTTTGATTAGCGTGTGTAATTTTACATTTTCACTATTCCCTCTTACTTTCTTTAGACTTGTTCTCAATCTTGAAACCTAAAGCTTTTCTTTGACTCTCGCCATAGCAATGGTTGCTCCTTCATGGCTTATATCTTTATTTGCTTCTTCACATACCTTTGTTTGCATACTCCTATCTCTGAGGTATATTAACTGGCTCTGCTGTTCATCTGGAATTCTACCTACACATCTTATAATTCGTTCTATAAATTTCATTAACGCTAGTTGCTGTGATTCTTTTGAATGGAAATCAACATATTCTTAAGATCACCTTGTCAAGCACTTGGCTGCTTTGACTACTTTCTGTTAGATTGTGATCTCATTGTTTCCTTGTGTTGCATTGTTATGCTAATTATGTTGACTTATGATTCTCGTTGTTTTAAAATGGCGTTTATTTCATGCGTTCTGATATCAATCTAAATCGCTTCCATCTTGCAAATGAATATAGTTTAACACATTCAACGTTTTCAAAGGCCCTGAAAATATCTGATGTTGGATTTTCTGAGATTTTGCACCTGAATATTACCTTTTAAGCTTTCTTGAGAGACCCTTTTTTG